CCGCGTGCACTTTGCCAGCTGACTGCTTGTCTGTCGTTATCGGAGTTGCCTTCACGGTAGATGCTGACGCATCATCCTCCACTCGGATGTGCTCATTGATGCGCTACATTAGCTGGCCCATGCATGTCGGCTGGTGCATGGTAAGCGAGTCCCGCAGTCTATGTCCGATCGGGAGACCACGCTTGTATTGTGTGATTGCAGGGTTAGTCGGGCAATCCAAAATCTCGTTGAAGGTCTCCCAATATCTGGAGTTGTATGCCTTCAATGTATCACTCGGTTCCATCTTGACACTCAAGAGGTGATCAACTTCCTTTGGTGTTTTGGTGTTGGTTTTGAAGCGCGTCAGAAAGGCTTCAGCCAACTGCTGCCACCTTTCAATGCTCCCCTCCGGCAGCCTCTCGAACCATTTCAAACCCAGCTCGCCCAAACTCGACGGGAAGATCAAGCACATAAGAGGGTCATTTCGCCTATGTCCGGCCATGACCTGTCGGAAATGACTTACATGCATATATGGGTCGGTTTTTCCGTCATAGAGCGTGAACTTTGGCTGGTGGAAGCCCGCCGGAAGCGGTACGGTCTCGATATCCACGAAAATGGAGTGGCACTCAGCCTTGCCAAGTCTATATCTACAAGGAGAGGCGCGGCTGGGCGGGGTAGAGGCATTCCTACCTCCTCGCTGGCGTGAACCCCATAGGATAGCCGCTGGAACGTGGCATCCTTTGAGCCTCCCGCCGGCGAGTCCATTCCTTCAAAACTGTCCGTAAATCCTCTGAATGAGCAGAATAAGAATACCTCGACGTCGTCGCCGGACGTGAGGGTCGGTAGGTACTATCTTGCGCGTTGGATTTCTCTTCGTACGCGTCAGAATCTCCAACCTTGTAACTTTTGGTGATTGAGATAGACGGTGTATGCCGCTGGCTCTAACTGCTTGAACGGCGGGGTTGGGTGCGTTCACTATGGTCTCCCTCTCCAGCTACACCCTTTCCTTTGACATGCCGCTTCAGCTCCTCCATCTCCGCCGCCATCCGCCGGATGACGGCGTCCTGGTCCCTTAACTTGTGTTCCAGACGTCGGGTATGTGATTCTCTCTGTCGCCGATGACCGTCTGGGCTCCGTGAATGACCATAACTTCTTCCGCGCTTATCCCGCGCATCTCTTGAATGTCCTCTTGGAGAAATCTCCAGGTCCGCCATCGGAGGAATGATGGTGGGATGTCCTTCTCTCCGTCTGCCCGACTCCGGGGTAACTCCATCGACGGCGGACAACGGAATCTCCTCGATGTTCGCCATGGATGGCGATCAGATGAGCCTAGAAGACAAGGTTTTGTTTGTCGACTTCCCACAGACGGCGCCAATTGTGCGGGGAGCAGATATCCAGGTGAGCCCGTACTCCTTGCTTCCGAGCTCCGTTTCTATCCGATCACCTGCATGCACAACAGCGGTGTGCTACCCGGCGGTGTGTAGCCGAAAAACCCCTTCTACGATCAAGTTAGCACACACCTGAGGATAGAGAGAATGAGGAGTGAATGGAGTGTAAGTATTTCTCTTACCAAATGTCTGTCTCCACAGCATGGGGGACACAGACTTGCTTATATACCTTCTGTGCCCTAAATCTACTCCCAGTGATCTCTCGATATGTGGTTCTGCTATCCCATCTGTCAGCACAAATCTTGCTGAACATCACCTAACCGGACTGCCAGCCCACTCTACTGGGAGCTCGGCAGCCGGGCTGAATCTTCTCGGCTGTCGACGGCCATGCTGTGTTCCATGCCCAATTGCTCCAAAAAATGAGATCCTTTCTAGCCATGCTCGGCAGCATTCCGGCGGAGCCGACCTTCAAACTGGTCGTACCGATCAACCAAAGGCCATCCAGTCGAGCTTCTGGCACAAGCTTCTCAACCGGGCTAACGGTGCGTGCCATCGACCTAGCAACGCAAGTTGCGCGGTTATCACCTGCGCAGATCCAAGTGGCTCGGTCCATCTCTGAACAGCCCCAACTTCGGGCAAATCCAAAGTTATCGCGGCCCAACGCACCATTGGGCCTCCCATTTGCTCGGCCTTTAACTCGGCCCATAACCGGCTCATAATTCTCCCTCACAGTCTCCATAGATTAAAATTGAATAATTTAGTCTCTATTCTTTAAATCTAGTTTCAGATTGGTCATTCTATTCAAGTTGAAGGTTAAAGTTAACGATTTTGGAACACTTATCAATCTCCTAAGACGCACATGTAGAAAAAAAATAATAATGAAAATTTGGATGAAAACAAATTGAGAGTGGATTTAAAGCATAGAGATTAAATTGTTCAAAGTGTAGGAATTTAATTGTTCAATTTGAAATTATAAGAATGGTCCAGCTTGTCTCAAGTTGAGATTAAGACTGGACCCGTTCAGTCCGGTCCATTGGCTCATTTTTTGAACTCGTTTTGATAATCCGAACCGTTCAATGTATAGAATTCGTCGAGTACTATATGCTTGTAAAAAATCACGTTGATCGGATATCGATAGCTAACCAAAACAATTTTGTATTAAAAAAAAATAGACGATGAACAAATTAGCGGTTGACAAAAAACTGTTTTGATCATATAACTATCGATATCCGATTAACGTGATTTTTTACAAACATATAGTACTCGACGAGTTGTACACATTAAACCGTTCATATTATCAAAATGGGACCCGTGGTGGGCTCTCATGGGTCCAACAACACCGTCCAGTCCGATCTCGGACTGGACCAAAACCAAGGCCTTATAAGAATTAAAGTAAAATTTAAATAAAAATGCAAGAGTTAAAAGTGTAATTAACCCTTTCAAATGATGTTTTCGATGTGTCACTAATACACCGTAACGTTAATATATTGAAGAGTCAGGTAAAGGGGCACAATTAAATTCATCAAATCTTTACTTACAAATGTGTAATGGAGCTGATTTTAATCCCAAAACTTTGATACATCCTTACCATCATAGCATTATTTAAGCCTCGTTTGGGAAGTGGGTTAATTTTTTGACTTTTTTTGTTATTTTAGCCTGGTGTTAAAAAATTTCGTTTGAGAAGGACTTTTGGCTTTTTTGGTTTTTTTGACTTTTGTTTTAGAGAAAGAATATAATGATTATGAATTGGATGTGATGTTTTGTCTTATTGGACTAAAAACCTATTTTGTTTTTTGTGACTATTTTAGCCAAAAAAGCCTGGCTTTTTTCGTCCCAAAGGTTTGAAAAATAATAAGAGTATGAATGTATGATGCATATTTAAAGTGGACTTACGTGTAGGTCTTAATAAATAGATTTATTGTTTAATAAATCTTATGATAATTAATGACATTTTTCATTAAATATTATTTAAAAATGTCACTAATTGTTTAAAAATTGTCATAAAAATGTCACTAATTATAAGTTTTAGCGACATTTTAAAAAAATTATCATAAAAAAGTCGCTAATTTTTAACTTTCAGCAACAGTTTGAAAAATTCGTCACAAAACAATATCACTAATTGGAAGTTTTAGCGACAATTTATAAAAATTGTGATTAAAAAAAGTCACTAATTATCAATTTTTTGTGACATGTAAAAAAATCATCACAAAAAATTATTTTTAGCGATGATTTTACTGAGACTTATTTTTAATAGAATTTGATAAGAAGTAAATCAAACTATTATAATGTATTGATAGTTTATCCTATTTTAATTTGGTGAAATATAGGTCACATATAGAATGAATCCAAGTCACATATTTTAAATTTTAGGTACTTTTTTGAAAGTAATTTTTTGAGTAAACTATCAATCAATCCCTCAAACTTTGTCTAGTTTTTGGATATAACCGTCAAATCTTTGATTATTTCTTTTGATTATTCTGGGCTATTTTGAGAAGTGGGTTAAAAGTCACTTTCCCGCTTTTAACCCACTTTCCTCTCTCACAAAAAAATTAAAAAAAGTTAAAAAAGTAACTTTTAACTATCTTTCCAAAATACCCCTCTATCTGGGCCCCAACTTTTTTTTGTAGATTCAATGTGACCCTTAACTTTTTCATTGTTTCTATTTATGCCCTCAAATTCTAATAATTAAGTTAATGTACTATAGTTTGTAAATAGATGTAGGAAAAACTATTGTGCACTTTCTAATTTACTAAATTTTAATATTTTAACTAAGAAAATGGTAGTTTAAATGTGTGAAGGAAAAATACATAGCAAAAATTACTAAAAAGTAAAATTATATACCTTTTATGACAGAATAATAATTCCCTCTAAATAGGTTCATTATTTAACCAAAGGCACTTTAATATTAATTCCCATCAGCTGCCCTCCCACTCGAAAAGGATTTTTACACAAAAAATATTTATTACTTTAATTACAATTTGAACAAAATATTTACTAAAATTTAAGAGGAACTCATGCTCATTTGTTGAAATTGAATGTTTATGGTCCCAAAATGCAGTCAATTGATTTACTATATTCTTGCTAGCATACCATTTGGCTATACTTTTTACAAAAGTAACAGATTGCATATAAAATCTTAAATTGAACACTTATTATTTTAAAAATGTGACTACCACATCATCCTATTAGCTTTCTATATAAATTTTTATTTGCAAATCATTTTTCAATTCAAAATGCCCCAAACAAGAGCGATTCCATAAAATCAAGAAGAATTTGTATAGGTAATGAATGGCATCGTTATTGATTGGGCTAGTTCAATTAATCACTCTTGTTATTATGCACCTAGCAAAAATACTTAGAATATGAACGTATGAAGTATATTTAAACTTGATGTGTTAGAGATAATGAATTTGACTCACACATTTTATATTTTGGAGACTTTTTTAAATAATTTTTTATGTGTGCATAATATTGATGATTTAAGAAGAAATTGAGTTTGTTTACATGATGTGCAAATTTTTATTTGCTACACACATAATGCAAGTTAATATTATAATAATATGTTGTTTCTCAAACCCATGGTAAATATATACATATAACATGTGCTTTGTTTAACAAAATTTATGGGTGTAGGGGTTGTTGAAAGTAACTTCAGATCGCACGATTGAGCTGTTGACAGATGAGGCTGAGGATGTGAAATTCAAGTTAACAGATGGTGTTGATATTACAAAAGACGGTATGATTTATTTCACAGATGCATCATACAAATATAGTTTAAAGGAGTTCATATGGGACATTTTGGAGGGTAGACCATACGGTAGATTCATAAGCTATGATCCATCAACAAAAGAAACCAAAGTGTTGGTCCGTGACCTCTACTTTGCTAACGGAGTAGCAATCTCACCAGATCAAAGTTTTGTAATCTTCTGTGAAACCCCAATGTAAGTCTTTCCCTCACAAAGTACTGTTAGCATTTTCAGTCAAAGCTTGTTTATATTGTGAGTAGGCTACATTTAGGATATTGTTTACTCATTTGCATTTTGTAAGTAAAAATTTGCAGGAGGAGGTGCAAAAGGTACTACATACAAGGTGAAAAGAGGGGTGATGTTGATACATTTATTGATAATTTGCCTGGCATGCCTGACAACATACGGTATGATGGAGAAGGCCAATATTGGATTGCATTACCCACGGTAATCAAATTTATACGTTTTATTAACTGAAATCATCCCCTTTGACAGTAATATATGTTTGAAATTCCTGCATTCAAATTGATATATATACTACTTTTAAAACGAGCTGAACAACACTAGATCAACATATATTTTATACTTTTTGATTAAAGAGAAGCAATGGGTCTTGTAATGGAGATCATGTAATAACTAGTTTGACATGTCCTTGCTCATTCACTGCTTTAAATTTTCTTCGTGCATAACGTCTATGATTTTGAATAAATGCGGGTAACATTTTTACTGATGGCATGGTTCATGGAATTTTGGCAGACAACTACACTGTCTTGGGATCTAGCACTGAGATATCCTTTTATCAGAAAAGTTTTGGCAATCATGGAGAGGTACATAGGGCGACCGCATATGGAGATAAATGGTGGGTTTTTGGCTGTTGATTTGGAAGGAAAACCGATTGCCCACTATTATGATCCTAAATTATCACTAGTTACTACTGGGATAAAGATTGCAGACTATTTATATTGTGGTTCCATCACATATCCATACATCATCCGCCTCAATTTGACTCAACATCCTGCTGTAGCAGTATAGGAAGAAGTTCTAAATAACCACCAGAGTCAAGTAGTTTCTTTTATTGAAATGTAGATGGAACTATGGAAGCTTCAAAACAAATGCAAATTGTTGGGCTGTGGCTTATACATGGTATCATTTGTATTTTGGAGCATGTTTCGTAGTTTATAAGGTTACTAAAGACTTTAGCAATTCCTTGTACTATGTGAAATTCATGATATTACAAATCAAGTGAATGCTTACCTGCTGGTAAATCTAACTGCTTACAAAATGCACATTCCATACCAAAATACTAGGCAAAATTATCTCCTTGTCACCTGTTAGCCTCAGAATACTATTACCTTGATTTACATTATTTGATCCATTTTCTAACAACTTAATTTTTAAAACAATTGATGATCAAACATGGCGTCAGAAATTTGGTTCCATGAGATCTTTCATTCAAGTATTTTCACTTACACTATGCACTTAATTATACTTATCTTTGTTCCTTGTTCTTTTAGTTTGTTTGTCTTTTCACATGCGAAAGTTATTGCATGCATGCGAGAGGGAGTTTGAGTTGATATATATTATCAGATATTTTCTTAATAATTTAAATTTTTGAGATAATTGATGATTTAACAAAAATAAATACCCTAGCATTGGATCCAACTCTTTTCCATTCCATGCAAAAAATGGACAATCCCCTTTAAAGGATAAGGAAAATTTAACACAATGGTAACGAAACACTTCATATTTCTCTTTTCAAGATTTTGCAAGGAAGTGAGGCTTAATGTGGGATTGGAGTTTCCAGTCAACTTCATCCTAATTAATGACGGAGATTGCTAGTTGTTATTTATTTATTTTTAACATACAATAGAATGTTAATGGGTTAATAAATTAGATTACAACGAAAGAATTACAGTTGTTTCATTAGCTTGAAACTTAAACCTCTGACTTTCTCATTGTCTCAAGGGATAGGGAAGATAGCAAGCAACGACAAGCGGGTGGCGGCAGCAGGTGGTGGTTTAAGGTTTAGGATTAGAGTTTTTTGTTAGAGAAGAAGGCATTTTTGATATAAAAGAATGTGTACTAAAAGGTTTAGGATTAGAGTTATTTGTTAGAGAAGAAGGCATTTTTGATATAAAAGAATGTGTACTAAGCAAAATTTCAAAATTCAAAATTAGGTGATTTTTGTGTTGACAAAAGATATTGGATTGACTGACTCTTAATATATGTGATGTTTTGGTCTTGGAGTTGTATTTTTTTTTTTTTACTTTTTTAATGCATTAGTGCTATTAGTGGTGATATTTTTAGTGGGATGAATCATTGTTGATATATAAATTAAAAGTTAAGAAAATTTTAAGCAGCAGCAAACTTATTTAATGTTAATTTAATTTATAATTACTTATGCATAAACATTGACATGCACCGTTATGACCTCACTACCATGGCCACATTACAACAAATTAAGGTTTTAGTGGCAAAAATATAGGGACAAAATCACTTTTTAAAAAAAAATATTTTTGTTATTAAAAATGTCATAATTATATTTTTAGTTGCAAAATTGGACATTTAGTGATAAATTACTATCCATTTAGGATCAAAATTTTTGTCTAAGAAAATAAATCTTTTTGGGACCAAATTATTTTTTTCCTAAAAGTACATTTAGGGATTGTTTGGGATGTCCTGAATAAGTGTACTTTTTGAACTTGAGGGAAAAAAGATGGTTGTTTGAGATAACTTTTTAACTTTTTACGAAAAATGTATATTAAAATATTATATAAAATAACAAAATTACCATTTTACCCCTATGCCCTATGCATAGTGACAGTGAAGATTGAATGAAGCAATACGGAATGCTTTGAATTGTGTGGTGGGGCAGACATGCTTCAGATTTATATATATTAGATGAGGCTTTCCTCTAGTTCTCCATCGGACTGGAGGGACTTACCACGGGTCCCATTTCAATAATTCGAACTGTTCAATGTGTAGAACTTGTCAAGTACTATATGCCTGTAAAAAATCACGTTGATCGGATATCGATAGCTATGTGATCAAATCAGTTTTGTATAAAAAAAAAAATAGACAATAAAAAATAAACGGCTGAAAAAAATCTAATTTGATCACATAGCTATCGATAACCGATCAACATGATTTTTTACAGGAATATAGTATTCGACGAGTTCTACACATTGACGGTTCTGATTATCAAAATGAAACCAGTGGTGGGCCCCCACGGACTGAACAACACTGTTTTTTGTAAATTTTTTGTGCAGCGGATTAGGTAATTTGTACCATCTGGTTCAGACTGTACCATCACGTCGATGACTTTTTAGATTATATTTTTTTGTGAATAGTGATAACTTTTTGACTTTTTGTCTTTTCTAGACTAAGCCAAACCAGCCTTCAATAGCAACATTTTTAAAATTGTTCCTAAATTTTTTTACTTTTCGGGACGACATTTTAACGATTATACTCGCGACAGTAGAAATTAGTCTCCAAATATTTTTTGCAACAAATTTTTTACTTTTGGAGATAAAAAATTTTGATCTTTAAAAATCTTATTGTTGTAGTGCCATCATCACCACCGCTACAACCACTATCACCATCACCATCATTTTGCCTCTATAACCAACCACTACCATTATTATGCCAACACTGCCAGGGACAAAATCAAGATTTCATAATCGAATGGGCCAAAGATAAATATTTTTTTTTCATCATATATATAAACACACTTGTATGTACAATATGATCTATAAACTATATATACATATATATACATAAAAAAAAATATTCAAATCTCATAGGAGTAGTCTCTTTTCGGATAAAGAAATTTTTTTGTTTAAAAAAAGAAAAAGAAAGAGAAAATGTAAGATGGTAGAAGAATGATAGTGCCATCATCACCACCGCTACAACCACTATCACCATCACCATCATTTTGCCTCTATAACCAACCACTACCATTATTATGCCAACACTGTCAGGGACAAAATCAGGATTTCATAATCGAATGGGCCGAAGATAAATAAATTTTTTTCATCATATATATAAACACACTTGTATGTACAATATGATATATAAACTATATATATACATAAAAAAAATATTCAAATATCATAGGAGTAGTCTCTTTTCGAATAAAGAAATTTTTTTGGTAAAAAAAAGAAAAAGAAAGAGAAAATGTAAGATGGTAGAAGAATGATATATATATTTATCTTTTATACTGACAAATAAATAAAAAAACACTTTTAGCGACCTTTTTTTTAGTCACCAAAAGTGTAATTTTGGTTGCTGAAAGTATCCGTGACATGAACAAAATTGGTCGCTGAAGCCCTGTCACTAAATTGCTTCGGCGACCAAATCAATTTTGGTTGCCTTTATAAATAAATTGGCAACCAAATATTTCCGTTGCCAAAAGACTAAAATTTCGTCGCCATAAATTAACATTTAGTCACTAAAAGTAGCTTCAGCTGATGACATGTTAAGTTTCAGCGACATATAAATGCATCGCTAAAAATATCTTTCAGTGACTAAAAGAATTGGTTGTTGAATGTTAAAACTTTTGGCGACCAATCAAGTTTTGGGTCGCTAAAAAAATTATGGACACATACTTTCAGCAACATAAATAAAATGTCACCAAAAGTAAACTTATAACTAAAAAAACCTGTCACCAAAAATTCATTATTTATAATTTTTTTTAACAATTTCCCTGTTCAATACATAATTCATAAACCTATAAACATAAGCAAATATAATTCAAATTAACACATTTGTGCAAAGTATCCAAAATATAATCTTAATTCAAAAGTAGTACCATATTAAATATAAACAACATATCAAATCCAAAACATCCAATTTAAGTACAAATCTCTTACAATCCCAAACTTCAAACATGTAATGCCCAAAAACCTTCTAAGCTTGCAAATTCATAATAAAAACCTTTGACAAAATATATCCAAAATTTCAAAATGTAATCCTTTGATGCTCCCCGAACTATATTTCATCCATTGCTAATCTGTCAAACATGTGAAAAAAACTTCAAACATGTAATTCCAAAAAACCTTCCAAGCTTGCAATTTCATAACAAAAACCTATGACAATATATATCTAAAAATTCAAAATGTAATCCTTTGATGCTCTCCGAACTATATTCCATCCATTGCCAATATGTCAAACATATGAAAAAAAAAATTATAATGTTAAAATGTTAATAATAAAGGTCTTGGTCTAAAAACATTGGTTTCACATTATAGATGAACAAATTGAGAGCAAATTTTCCTACGGTGAATTACAAAATTTCAATATACCAAAATCAAAAAGTAACACATGATTCACAAGTTAAACTTGGCATATATGAACTAATTACAAGCAATATCTCTATAAATTTGTAAATCAGTCACATATTGTCCAACCAAAACCTAGCTCAAATTATGTCGTCATGGAATACTGATGAAATCCAATTTCAAGGTTCCAAAACAAGAGCAAATATCAATTGAGTAGGAGCTATCACTGGAATGAGATGTAATCCAAAGTGCTAACTTTACTTTCATGACTAAATTGAAATCAGAAGGACCTAAATCTTAAACTTGAGGTTGCTTTTACTTACATTAAGGTCAAAAAGTTCCTCAAATAAAAACTAGAATGAATATGAATAGTTTGCTAGCATTGTGCCCACAAATCATACTTTACTGCCGATGATATATTGTGATAATTAGTTGTCTAATATTGCAAAAGCAAATTATGAGATGTGTGACATTTCTAGTATAGCATTATTGTGTTCTTAGGAAACATAATAAGAGTTTAACATTGGGATAATGAAATTAAAACACATCTTTGGTCCCTAGATTAAAACAAAATATAGCAGCAACCTCAAAAACGTAGGGATAATAAATCACCATTTCTTTGAAACTCTCATTCCTAGACTCTAGTTCTTTCCTAAACTCTACCAGTCTCCTTCCTAAACTCTCATTTTCTTTTCTCTAGTTCCTCTCTAAACCCACACATCCCACCATACAAACCCACTAGCATTAAACCTACAATAGCCATCACGGCCAATAGAGAGATAGTATACCTATATGGAATTAAATCATCCAAGGAGTTCTTTGCAGATTAAGAAGATGAGATCTAACAAGTCCAAGGAGTTCTTTGCAGAGCTCAAGGTCTTGTGCAAGATACATCATATTAATGTGGTAAGTAACATTTTCATATCTGCAAAATGAAATTTAATGTGATTTAACAAAGTTCAAATATTTTTTACGAATCAAGCCTA